GGGACTCCAGGATCATGACCTGAGCCGAAGGCAGTCGCTTAACCAACTGAGCCACCCAGGCGCCCCCCTTTGTATCATTTTTTGCCCTCTCCTCCATCATTTATGTTTACTTGGCTCTCTTTGATGATTCCAGTTGGTGGCTGGTGAACGCCGCTGTACTCATCACTGCCTGTTTTCCAACCGTTAGTCCCTTTGTTCTGAGCCATGACCCCAGCATATCTGGGCTCTACTGTGTCTGCTGTGGAAGAAATACATAATTCCCTCATCTCATCAGAGAAATATGAATTGTCCTCCTCCTGTTCAATCGTGGATGCACTCAGACCTCAAAGCATGTTAAGAACAATTATGAACCAGTTTCACTGCAGAGAGAGGGGTGAGCAAGACAGACTGACAATGGCCCAATATGAAATAGTAAATAACAACAGCACGGTACATGAACTCTTCTGTAATTAACATGTGTATACTTAGTTGTTTTTTTATTAACAGTTACAGTGCAGAAGTTAAGATTCCATAGAACAGTCCTGAAATAATGTGAGGATACTGGAAATATCTTTGAATGTGTAACTTTCAAATTGAGATATATTAAAATTTCCCAAGATGTACCTGAGCTTGGAACTGTAAAGACAGTCAGATAAGAGGGAATAGCATGTGGGTAGTCTTTCCAGAAACTAGGGATGGGAGCGGTGGTCCTGATTTGTGATGCAAATGGCCTGGGGTGAAGCTGGAGGGAAAAATCAGGTTTTACTTATTGCTGGCTTTGGAGACTGTGTTGCAAATATTGTGCTTTATATCCTAAGAGAAACTGGGGACATTTGAAATACGATAACGCTAATGGAGAAAGATGAGCATATTAAAATATTTTCAGGTCAACATTTGAAGAGTAAACTGCAGGGGACAAAGAGGAACATAGGAAGATGTGTCAGTTGAATTTTACAAAGGGTGCAGGTGGAAGGGACGCCTGGGTGGTTCAGTCGGTTAAGCGTCTGCCTTCAGCTCAGGTCATGATCCCAGGGTCCTGGGATCGAGTCCCGCATCGGGCTCCCTGCCCCGTGGGGAGCCTGCTTCTCCCTCTGCCTCTGCCTCTCTCTCTCTCTCTCTCATGAATAAATAAATAAAATCTTTAAAAAAACAAACAAACAAAAAACAAAGGGTGCAGGTGGTAGGCAGCCAGTAAACAGATTGGGTGTATAGGAAAAGATTGAATGGACTTTGGGGATGTTTAGAAGGTAGATTGTTCTGTGTTAAATCTTGGTGGCAGTTGGCTATGTTGGCGAAAAAGACATTTCAAGATGGACTTCTGCTTTTCCAACTTGAGGTTACAAGAGGTTACAGAGGAGCATTTCACCAAGCTTGGGGCAGTAGATAAGTAGCAATCTGAAGCTGGAAGATGTGAATATATTTTGTTTAACGAGGAGTATTATCCCTTTTGAAATACCCACCGGAGCAAAATGGACACCTTTGACAGGAAAAATAAAAGGGTATTAACTCAAACATAGAAATACTTTAGGGCGGGGTGCCTGGGTGGCTCAGTTGTTAAGTGTCTGCCTTTGGCTTGGGTCATGATCCCAGTGTTCTGGGATCGAGCCCCCGAGTTGGGCTCCCTGCTCAGCGGGAAACCTACTTCTTCCTCTACCACTCCCCCTGCTTGTGTTCCCTCTCTCACTGTCTCTCTCTGTCAAATAAATAAAAAAAATTTTTTTAAAAAAAGAAAGAAATACTTTAGGGGCGCCTGGCTGGCTCAGGGGGTAGAGCATGTGACTCTTAATCTTGGGATCGTGAGTTCAAGCCCCACATTGGGTGTAGAGATTACTTAAGAATAAAATCTTTTTAAAAAGAAATACCTTAATATAATTCTGTTATTAAATCATAAACATTTGCAGTTTTTTAAAGTAAACATTTTATTTTGGAATAACTTTAGATTTGCAGAAAGTTTGTAAAGATAACACTGAGTTCCAAAATATCTCTCACCCAGTACCCCAAATGTTACCATCTTAACTTTACCATGGTTCATTTGTCAAAACTAAGGAACCAACATTGGTATGTTACTATTGCCTAAACTCCAGACTTTATTTATGTTCCAGTTGTTTTAACACTGTCATTTTTCTCTGTCAGGATCCAATCCAGGACATCACATTATATGTCATCAGTCTCTTCTGCTCTGTGACATTTTCTCAGACTTCCCTTCTTTATCATGACAGGTTTGAGGAGTACTGGTCCCATACATTTTAGAATGCCTCTAAAGTTGAATTTGTCTGAAGTGTTTCTCATGGATAGACTGGGTTTATGGGTTTTTGAGAAGAATATCCCATCTCATCACAGCATCTGGCCTGAGAGGTTCATGCAATTAACATGAGTTATCTTGGATGATGTTAATCTTGATCAGTTAGCAAAGGTAGTGTTTACCAGGCTTCTCCACTGTGAAATTACTCTGCATGCCTTTCCATATTCTATTCTTTGGGAGACTCTAAGCACAGCCCACAGTCAAGTGTGGAGTTGGGGGAGGGAGGGAGGGTGCTTGAGGGTGGGGGTGGGGTGTTGAGTTAAGCACCTCCTCCTGGAGGGCAAAGTAGCCCCATATATTATTTGCCATTCTTCTGTGTGGAAGCTGTGTCACTTCTCCCTTGTTTGTTTCTTCAACTCATTTATACGTATTTTATACTTTGTGCTATAATTCAATGCTATGTAATTTATTTTGTTGCTTAAATTTTTCCAGCTTTGATCACTGGGAGCCATGGTATAATAAAATATGTATACACATGTACATCTGGTCTTTGTCTCAGGTTCCTGGCTCAGAGCTCCAAAAACCTTTGAGATTTTCTGAGTGGTAGGAGTGTCTGTATTATATTAAGGAGGCAACTGTGGGCAGGGGTTCCCCACATAGCTTCAGAACAGGGGACTGAACACCTTTGAAAGACCAACTGCATGATTGGATTGGAACACTCAGCTGCCCAACCTCTGGGGAGGGGAAGGAGACTGACTGGAGACTGAGTTCAGTCATACGGCCAGTGATTTAACCAACCATGCTTAGGTAATGAGACCTTAATTTAAAAATCTGGAGAAGCTCCAGGGAGCTTCTTGGTGGGGAACAGAAGCTACTATGTGGGCAGCCCTCCCAGATCTTGCTCTATGGATGCCTTCATTTGGCTTTTTATTGCTGTCCTTTATAATAAGATGATGTCAAACGACAAAACTAAAACAATTTAGTAACGAGTTTGCTGTCTTTTATTCAAGGGAAGACAACCCTTGATCTGGGGGAGGACAGAGCCTCACAAGGGTGGGGCGCTCTTCCTGAGGGATTTGGGGCGAGAGCGAGTTTTAGAAGAGGCGATGCAGAAACCTGGCATGACTGACTAGAAAGTCAGGGATGTCCTTATAAAGCCAGCAGGCACTGTTTTCCACGGTAAGGTCAGCTAGCTGAAGCTGAGTTGGAGGATTGTCACTGGTGTATGTTAGGTTTCCTTGCAGGGTGTTTCACGTAAGTAAGAGCAGTCTAACTTAGGTTTAGATTTGTGATGCGGGTCGGGCTACTGGGGTGGCCTCTGTTTTAGGGGTCCTGATAGACAAATTAACTTTATCGAGGGTCATCATACATACAGTACTTTCCTGAGTTCTGTGAGTCTTCCCAGCAAATATCCAGCCAGAGGGGATTGTGGGAAGCCTTAAATTTGTAGCTGGCTGGCAGATGCCTGGGTTTGGGAATGCCTGCCTTGTAGGTGGTGATTTGTGACTGGGGGCAGTCTCGGGAAGGACCTTGCCCTTAACTTGTGCGGTCTGTACTAAGCAAAGAATGTCAGAATTACATGGAATTGCAGGACACCCAGCTGGTATCAGAGAATTGTTGACAGGGTGCAGTGCGGGAGTCCTTTCAGGTTTTGCTACTGTGTCCCTTTGCTATGTCCCCAGGTTTTTTTTTTCAAGATTTTATTTATTTGAGAGAGAGTAAGAGTGTGCCCGTGAGCGCACAAGCGGTGGAGGGGCAGAGGGAGAAGCAGGCTCCCCGCTAGCAGGGAGCCCAATGCGGGGCTCCATCCCATGAACCTGAGATCATGACCTGAGCAGAAGGCAGACCCTTAATGGCTTAACCAACTGACCACCCAGGCAGCCCCCAGTTTTTTGTTTTTTGAGCACTTCCTTACTCTTACATTTTGTCACTGCAAGATGCTCCAGGCTCATCTTGTATTTTCCCTGCTCTTGCCATAGATTCAGCCATATCTCCAAGGAGGCTTTGATTAGAGAACAGTGTTAGATAAAAGATGTGGGTGCTGGGTGTGCTCCTTTCTCCTGGCATTTCATTGCTGTTAGGCCCTCTGAGTAGACCTACGAGATCTCTTTACACATACATCTGTAGTTCTCTTTATCTACCTGTCTACTCGTGTCCCTACAGCTAAGTGTGTGTTCATATGTCCCTGACTCTGATCCAGGACTTCAGGGTTCATTTAGCTTTCCCCCTTGCTTTTCTGTACCTATCTGCATTTATCGAGTGTTATGGCACGACATGCCTATGAAGTTTTGCATCCTCCACACTCCCATGCTCTCTGCACACCACCTCTAAGCCCCTCCCTCTGTCCTCATTTGTACCCTGCTCTACAACATGCCTGCACGTGCCAGCTCTGCCCGGGCAATGCTCACAGCACTCTAAAATATTCCACGTGGTAAGTATCATCTTTGTGGGTTGTTGCAGGGATGGAAGGAGTGAAAAAGGTGGAAAGTGCTCCTCTCCCCCATCTTCAGGCATCCAAGGTCAGGAGATTCCTGTATTCTCCCACATCTGAGCACATTGAGATACACATGTGCACGCTGACTACGAATGCGATCCCGTACGTGGGACTGGGGACGTGAGCGCAGGGGTGAGGGTGTGTAAATGTGAGTGTATGCTTGTATTTGATGAATGTGTGCATGAGTGTGGGTTTGCTGTGGAGTGTTTGTGAGTGTGTATACCTGTGTGAGGGTATACGGCTGTGCATTTGAGTGTGTTGTACGTATGCGTGGGTGTTTGCACCTGCGTGTAATGTTTGTGTATGTGTGTGTCTGGGAACTAAGGGTTGTCCACCACTATGGCTCTGATCTCCGACTTGGGTATCGGAGTATTTGATAGTGGGCATGGACCAAATTGTGTGTTTGTGTGTAGGGAAAACAAATGATTACTTTGAATTCAGGTTTCTTAATTAATTATAAAAGCAATCGGAGCTGATTACTGAAAACTCGGCAAAAATATAGCTGTGGAAGGATGTGGTAACCACCCAATGCTATTTAATGA